TCTAATAGACCCGAAGTTGTCGTTACTGGAAAAAATTCTAATTTATATTAAGTCATAGAGACGTTTAAAGTCAGCAAAAAGTAAAATAGAAGGATAATTACTAGAGCATTATAGACTCGAATGAACGTTTAATTAACATTTCAATTACTAAAGGCCGTTTAAAATTTACATATAAGCTCGGGGGACGTTATTAATATTCGTGAAAGAGTGCAAGAAAGTTAATGAATCGTTGGGGTATCGCGTGGCGAGGCAGCTCGACTTGAGGTCGGTTACCAATAACTCCAGCAGAATCAAGCGCGCGTCCATCAAATGTAATGCATTCTGTTGGGCAATGGTGGTGGTGGTGAAGGTGGTGTCGGAAGGTGGCGGAAGGTGGCGGAAGGGCGAGGAAGGGCTGCTCTCGATAGCTCGGCTTTATGACGCGTAGCGTCGCGACGCAGCGCGTCGTTTGACGCACGCGAGGCGCGTTAGTCTGCTCCTCGGGGTCCATTCCTTCTTTAATATTAGCGACGCCGCCAGCTCTCGACGATGATGGACAAGTGACACATCGTCTATCCGCGAGAAAAAGTCAATGCGTCGATGAAAGTCGCCGCAGCGGCTGCGCCCCGGCAAACGTCGTCGGCTCGTCGCTTTTTTGTTTTTTTTTTTGTTTTTTGCTTTTTTTGCTTTTTCTTTTTGTTTTTGTTTGTTTTTGCTCAAAAACTACAACGTCGAGCTGTGAACGACGCCGACCCTCCGACGCTCGCTTTGACTTATCTATCCTCGTGCGACGACGATTCGAGTCTTAGCCGGAACTCGCCACTGCTCTCCGTTTACTTTGGACCGTAGCAGCAGCTTGCCTTTTTTACCTCCGACCCTTGGCCAAATATACCAATCCCGAAGCACCGTTTACCTGCGTTACGTACAAGTTCAGCCCGGTTAAAAATTGATTTTTTTTTTATTTTATTATTTTATTTATTTATTTATTTATTTTTTTTTTACCGGGATTCAATTTACAATTTCATTGGAAACTGGGTTTGTTTAGCCAGTGCAGCGAACATTCTGCCTCTATTAGGCAGATATTTCCTTTGAAATTGAGGGTGTTGGCTATTATATCAATTAACGCATGGCACTTTAATTCTGAGACTTGAGAAATTTTGTAACCGGAGTGAGTATGCGCTTGCTCGGCCGATTAAAGCTGAAATTATTTTCTATTCGTACTCCGAGCTTTCTTTGCTGTAAATTGCCGTAAGTAAATCAAGCCTCAAGTGCAAAACTATGGCTATTGTGCATTTTCAGCACTTTTATGCTTATTCGATCAGCCAGTTAATTTTGAAAAGCTTTTCAAATAAATATAGGTTCTCGTGTAGAACCCTATTTATTATAAAATGACAAGTAAAGGAATTCGCAACATCGTTTATATGTAATATAAATTGCATGATTTTTTTTCTTCGTCTCTTTTTCTTTCCTTTTTTTGTTATTGCCAACGTATAATTTTAACCGAATTGAAAGAAATCGTTTCATTTCTGGATAGAAATAATTAAATAGATAATTAAAAGCTGTGGCATATAACGTGTTTTGACATAAAAACGTTTAATCTTTTTATGACTTGTTGCGAGAGTAGATTACATAGTATTTTTACATATCAGGCAATAACAGCCTGTCAAGATTAGAATAATGAGTACTTTAGTTACAGTGGTGCCATTAATTTGCGCATAAACTTTTACAATGAAACAGTATAGAATTCAACGGTTGAAAATCTACAATAATAATACTAATAATCATAATGTTTCACAAGGTGTCTGCAAAACGTAATTATTCACGCCGCACTGATTAAAATAAATAATTTTCTCTTTATTGTTTATTCGGTGGTGGTTCAAGCATACCATGCATGCGAGAAGTTAAAGAAAAAAAAATATTTCAATTATTTTCGTCATTCCCCCCCCCCCTCTCAATGCCCGCACTGCCAGCACTTTTGTAGTAGCGAAGACGAAGGCGAGCATATTTTAATTAAAAACTGGATTATCGGCAACAGTATGAGGCACAATGTGTAATTTAATAATAACAATGTATATGACAAGGACGAGCGAGGTATAACGATATGCTCGGAGATTGTATTATAATAATTTCCCAGTGCCAGTTGATGAATAACTGTAACGGGGAATAAGTTGCGCGGCCCTTGTCATTCGCTCGCGATGATAAATTCACATTTGAATAATACCGGTGGCAGATCTTGACGTCGATTCTAATATAATAGATTAAGTCGATGGAAGCATCGTTATTAGACAGATTTATAGCGGAGCTACTTGTCGAGCAACCTCGGTATGTACAGATTAAGATCATCAACGGTCAATGCTGTCATTGTTAATAAGAAAAAAGTGGGTGACAAAGCGCATACTTTCTCATGCGCGAGTTAACGCGTCACAAGGTATCACTGTCACCGTCAACGAAACAACTGCGTTTGCGCACGTAAAACTCGCAGTCATCGTCCAACAAAGTTTCATTGTAAAAAAGATCCTTTGAGGGCCCGCTCGTGGCCGTGCCAATTAGAGAGCCAGCAGATGTAGAGGCCGCGTATTCGAAAAAGAAAACGTGTAGTTTTGTTTGATGCGAAACTTTTTGGCTCGCTGATACTTCAAAGACCGAGCGAGAGAGACGGCTAGGCGGATAGAGCGGACATCCGAGAGAAACGGGATGAGATCGCCGCGGGACGGGGGCTGGGGCCGAAGGCTGGAGATTATTTTCCGAGCGGGAGTCGAATCACGCTAATTTTGATAGTCTCGCAGGCTCGCTAGGCCGCTTATTAAACGTGTTTTCCTTTTCACCGAATGCACGAATGTTCAAGACCGTTCTTTCTTTCTTCTTGCTCCTCGCCACTACCCCTTTCATCGTCCCTGCTCTCTCTCTCTCTCTCTCTCTCTCTCTCTCTATCTCTCTATCTCTCTCTATCTCTCTCTCTCTCTCTCTCCGCTCATACTCCGTTCCTCTCATTTTGGAAGCGCGCGGCTCAAGCACGTGGTGCATTCGATAGGGACTGCAGGGGTATGGAGCATTTCACTGGCACGATGCCCGATGGCGTTAACTATCTTTTCTATCTTAAAAGGAAGAAGAGGAGAAAAGTCGAAAAGTCATTGTCATCGGTGAACTCTGTTCTTACGTAACGTCGACCTCTCGTTCGAAATGTCGTGCCTATCCTTACAAAGTCTTTTCATGAAACGTCGTGAGTACGATCGGACGAGCGGGATTGATTAAAAAATTTCATGTTACCATGCCGCTAAAGTCATCTTATAAGCTCCTTAAAGTCGAATGAATATTTTTATATTTTTATATTTTTATATTTTTATACTGCAATAATGCCGACAGCTAGGCAGCTAGAGCGCTGTCTCTTAACCAAATTTTTCGCATAATTAAACTTTCCTTTTTTCTTTTCTTTTTTTTTTTTTTTTTTTCCAATAAAGATAAAACAATTAAGAGTACGAGTATAATGACTTGCTTCCACGAATTTCAATTTATTATTAAATCGTATATAAACTTCCTATAATTAGATGAAATTTTAATTATTTATTTTGTTCCAAATTTGCTATATTTATCTTACTTGAAAATAATTGTATTTTAAGTAATGTTGACGTGACTTGCAGTAGCAAATTAATATATAAGATAAATTTCCTAATCGATAAAATGGTTCTGTAAATATTTATTTTGGTGGATATTTGTATTCTATACTGGAGAGTAAATTACGTTAAATTCATTAAATATCAATTATTAAGAAATACCTTATTATTGTTTTAAAAAATTAATCACCATTTGTTATAGGCATATCTTTATATGTGTTGTATAGATATAAATTATCTTCATCAATTTCCTATCTTTATCTCTAAATTATGTTGACAATATGGTATTTTTATTATCAGCAACATTTACAATCATTGTTCGCTAAGACACTTACTTAATGCCAATGATATTTATTGTTAAAATGAAAACCAAAAATCATTACTTTGATAAGGCACATGACAATTATATGAATATATATATATATATATATGAAATAAAAATCATCATTTTATTTGCAAAGTACACAGATTTATATTCCTACTCGTGCATATTTGTTAAATTTGCAAGCTTTAAATAAATTATTAGTAGATATTTAAAATAATTAATTAATCAATATTACACAATTACTTACGATCATCTCTTACACCTACTACACTCTATACAAAAGTTTAATATTAATAGACTAACTTTATTCCTATAATTTGAACTAAAAATAGATTTGAATTACTTATCATATTTTACAAATTTTTATATAACTCATGTAAAGGAATCCAAGAGGAGACAGATAAATATATTCGTAACTGCGTTTAAGAAAGCTGAAGTCCTTAATATTTTTAATGATAAAAATCACGAATTATTATCCCATTTGGTGTATAATAATGATCGTCATAATCTATCGTGTATTATTAATAAATGTAGCAGAGTATTTGGCCTTTAGTTGGAGTACTTGGGAGGACGAAGCAGTACAGTATATTATTGGTGAGTTGATAATTAAAATGTATTCGTATCTTAAGCTTACGAGACTTTACAAGTGAAATCCAACTATGTATTTTTCACAAATTTCTGCAATACTGAATATGTGTACAAATATTGAGCGTGTACAGGAATTCAGGAACTTGCGTTGCTTTATAAGAACGAAAATTTCAGCTGTACATTGTTAATTTTATTACCACTGAAATTTGTCGTCTCGCTCAAAAGAAAGTTACAAAGTCTCGTATGGGAGCCTTGGCCCCCCAACTATTTCACTCTACTCTCCAGCGAATCTTAAAAGTGTCGCAGGAGTGACCAAGGCCCGAATAGTGATCTTGGATCGATTAGCAGCTCGTGACGACGCGCGAGCGTGCCGGTCGCCGAGCCAATCGAGATCCGGGCAAGCCGAGTTCCAAGAGTAGGCCCAGCGAAATAGGGGGCCTATGCGACAGGGATTGCCGATGGGGAGGGGATGTAAGCAACGATCAAAGAACGCTCAC